GTTTTTACCATATTACATAGTTTTGTCGCAGTGTCAGTGAGAGGATAAAAACAGCAACATACACATGGTCATAGAAATTGCTCGTCCCACTCACACCTGAAGGGAGTCCGGCTTATCAACGTCATCTAGACAGGCTTTTGAATGTCTGTTTGTAAATTTCTTGCATTTTCTAAATCTGAACTTCATTTGCACCAACGCTAACATTATGAAATACAACTATTTCACAAAGTCAAAGACATTCGTGAACAATCGTGGTATTTTTACTTTTTTATTAGACGTCATTGCTACGGATATATAGCAAACAATTTTACACCATTTTCAACTAACTTTTAACAGTATCAAAGACACAAAGCTCCCCATGTAATTTTGCGATCTTAAGTATTGGTTTAACCATGCATGCATTCAAACAATTTCGTCTGTTAAATACGATATTATTATCAACATGCACACAGTTGGTTAATTTTGCTAAACATTAAACGCAGTTTCAGAGATGCACTTTGTTAAATATCAAGATGATATAGACACAGTTAATGATTATTTTAGCACCGAATGTAACACGTTGCTTCCCATCATACTAAAATTTTCACAATTGTTGGTTTATATTTTGCTCAAATTGCTGTATTAGTATAGCATTTCAAACATTACACTTCAACACTGTTTCACTTTGTAAAATACGAATGTTACATTACAGGATTCTGGCAATCAGGACTGCAGTACTCAGCATTATAACATTCCGGACTCGCGCTAAGCCTAAAGAACGAAAAACCATGGGCAATTCCAATGCAAAACCAAATACCAGTAGACCTGTTGATACTACTCGCGCTAAGCCTAAAGAACGAAGAACCATGGGCAATTTCAATGCTAAACCAAATACTAGTAGACCTGTTGATACTACACGAAAATCTATTGACTCTTACAAACAACAAGTTTTGAATCGTTCTCTTGCTCCTGACATAACTTATGGACCAAACGTTGATGTAGAAGATTTCTATATTGACGTTGTTATCTGTACTGGACAAGCTCTGCATAACTTTTCTAAAGATATGAATAGACACGAAATCTACGATGTTTATATGCAACTTCCTCGATTCGCAATATGTTTAAAAGAAATTAAAGATTTATTTTATCCAAACAAAGATACAAAGGGAGATTCTCCTCGTAGCATTCTGGCAATTGGTAGACCTGGGATTGGAAAAACTGTCTGGACCGAAAAAATTATCCGTGACTGGGCTAATGGAATTGATGTATATTATTATGACAAGATTGTCTTCTTTTTCAAATGCAGATGGTTCAATGAGAATTTTAACAAATTAACAAATATATCCCTTAAGGCATTTCTTCGGTTTGGGACGGGACTGAGTGAAGAAAAGTTCGAAAGTATTTACGAAGAAATTGCAAAAGAGCCACAAAAAGCCATTCTTATTTTTGATGGTTTAGATGAATATCACGGTGACCCCATAAGTTGCTTAGACCAATCTCGCATCATTCCAAACGATCCTAATACTGGCATGTCAGCAATGAATTTATTCATTAAACTAGTTTTGGGCGACTTGTTGAAAGGAGCAACGGTTCTAGTAACGAGCAGACCGACTGCAGATGATTTTTACTCCAGACTTGATTTTGATCGAAATGTGGAGATTCTTGGTTTCACCTCCAACAAAATTGCAGAATATGTCAGTCGATTTTGTGACAATAATAACACGAGTGACCTTAAAACGAAGGTATGGAACTACATAAAATCCTCATCAGAACTGTTAAACTTATGTTACATTCCAGTCAACTGCTTTATAGTGTGTGTTACCCTCTCTGGATATCTTAGTGACCCAAGAAATGAAACCCGTGCTCTCCCAGCAACACTGACAGAACTTTACCAGACTGCCATTGATCATTTTGAGAGACATCATCACAGAAATGCAGACAGAAACTCTACGGCACATGAAGCGTTAAAGAAACTTCAACGATTAGCATTTCTTGGTATGGAAAACGGGCACCTGGTTTTTAATCAAACATTTTTTGATGAAGAAATGAAAAAATCAGGTTTATTGAACAGTTTATCCAATCCTATTTTCCCACTACGAACACAATTATGTTTTATCCACTTAACCATACAAGAATTTCTTGCTGCAAGACACGTGACTGAATCACTCGCTCCACTCGAAATAAAAAAGTTCATTTCCAACTATGTTAAGAGTGGTAAATGGCATTTAGTTCTTCAGTTCATTGCAGGACTTTTGGGCGAGAAAATCAAGAAATTTCATAGCGAATACATGGATTGTATTTTCGCATTTGCAGAAAGCCTCGAAGTTACTCATGGTAAAATTGAACTTAATTACAAAGAAGTGTTGGTAATGAAGTGCTTAAGGGAAGTGGACAATGAAGAGATTGTTAAAGAAATTTGCGAGACCACTGCTCTAAATGATGTTGTAAAACTTCGTAATCAGTTTCTGTACCATGCTTCTTCCAGTGAATGGGCAGCGGTTATTTTTGTTTGCGAACACATGAAGAAATTAACAGTGATAGAATTGAAAAAGAATACAGATTGTCCTCCGGAAGTCATAGAATCGCTGCTAAATAGTGGCATAAATCAACTAACCTTCACAACGGATTTCGATGAAGAGGCAATGGGTCAAGGTGAGTTTTACCCTTCCAATATGAAGTCAAGAAGTTTTTTCTATAATTTTAATGTTTACCGTTTCATGGAATTTAATATGTGGAAATATAAGGGTTATTGTTTACGTCACTAAATGGAAGGTGCTGTTTGGAATTATTGTTTGAAATGAGAATTGTCAACCTCCAATCTAAGTTGCTAACACACAAGCAAAAGGTCATAAAGAGCCCTTAAAATATCATTAATAATTCATAAACCTTGTGGCAAATCATGTCAGCCATAATATGTCACGTGGAGTGACTTTATATCTGCGTATATAATGGTTCATCTTAATAAGCATTCTTTTGTAGTCGTATTTTAAGCTATTCAAAACATTCGTTGTCGTGTTTTATCAGACATAAAACGCTCGGCTGCGCCTCGCGTTTTATATCTGATAAAACACTCCTACTCGTGTTTTAAATAGTACTTTCCTTCCCAGGAACCATGGTTTCGATATTAGTATTTTAGAACTACAGTATGAGGTATTATTATTATATAATCAAGTGCCTATTACATCAACACCTTTTCATATCTGTGAATGCAGATACAATATATTATTGTGTGCGTAACTGTGTTAGTTTGTTACTAAGTTAGTAGTTTGTTAGCTTCAGATTCCTCACAATAAAGGCAATTCAGAACGAGAAATTCTAAACTTCCCCAAACGCCTTGGAGTCAAATTTCTGAGGTAAGCCGGGGGGGAGATGGCGATGACGAAGTTTAGTATTTTGCATGGAAAGAAACAGATATCTGTATGATTCCATGGAACTTGTAAACCCTCAGAAACCATATGGAGGGTCCTGAAGGAGGGGGGGGGGGGTGTCGTATTCCCATTTCCGGATCCCAGCCCAAATTTTGACTAAATCCCATTGTCGCAGAGGCCAGAGCACAAATTCCATCATCTCAGTGGCTGTCCTGCTCAAATCTTAATCCCATTCCCATTTTCTATTTTTTTTGCTGATGAATCCCAGTCCCAGTGCATGAAATCCCATTTTCCCACCCCAAAATAAGCAAATCCCAGTTCCCATTTTACCCCTTCAAGACCCTCCATATGATAGCTGGAATAAAACCCAGTGCCATTTGTTGTTCACGAGATAAGTAGGAAAACAAAGCAGCTTATTCTTGTCAATGAATCCTTCATAGGAGTGCGTATCAGCTCCCAAGCTGTGCATTTCTTTTTGGCAGCAAATAACACTGTTTTACAGGTAGAACATGGTTTTACAAGTAGTTGTATTTCGGTGCTTGTTACAGATTTGATTTCACTTTCATTCATTGGTATGAAATAGGTAATTGGACAAGTACTGGTGTAAGACATTGTGTAGCCTAAATAATGAGGACCAGTAGTCCAGAATGGTTATCCTTTATTTATTTACTCCGACTCCTATGATGAACATGTACGCAAAAAACAAGGGAAACTACGATTAGATAGAAACTGAAATACGTGAAATTTTTATGTGACACGATAAAAGGCGAGGATATATAAGAGCGAGAGATTGAATTTGAATAGGAAAGGCAACCCTGTACGCGTTTCGACCTAACAGTCTTCTTCAGCAGGGTTTTTTAAGGGGGAGGGGGGTGTAGATAGAGTTTGCAGAGTAGAACTATAATGCAGGAGAGTTTAGGAGTACGGAACATATGTGAAACCAGAGAAAAACAAATTACTACGAAGTTATTCTGAACAATTACACAGTACAAAATGAAGGTTGAAAGAAAGTGAAAAAGGATGAAATTACTAATACGGCATTTTTTAAAACAAAATAATGTCCGAATAAAACATCTTCAGTAATCCAAGACATGAATAAATTGATAAAAGATTATGGACAAGCATAATAGTTTGTGACATTCCGATTATTTATTTATTTCGTCATTTACAACAATAAGAATACTAATGATTAAAAGTAATCTTACAATAACATAAAGAGCCAGCTAGGAGCCTACTAGCGCCGAAAGGGGAGGGGGCACTTTGCTCCGGACCCCAAATCAAAAGGGGCCTCCAAAGCAACGAAGGTCTTTAAAATTTCTCGATACAAGATTGCTTAACTGAGAATATAAATCTTAGCTTCGTTAGTGTCGGATATGTAATAAAGTGTGATACATTGTAAAACACGCCTCTCCTCTTTTACAATTATGACGTCATAGTGGCCCCTTGGAACGTTTTACCCCGGGTTCAGCGTTGAACCTCTCGGCGGCCTTGTGCATAATAAATTGTATATGTACATAATATATAAGAATTACTGAGAAAGCTTACAAGTCATTGATTACGACTATATCATAATCAAGGAAAAACGGTAGATATAATACAGGATTTTGGACACCTCACTCAATACTAAATGTTGAAGGGTTTTTCTAGATGGAAATCTTGACTGTAAATTTTATACGTTTATACACCAAACCAGGAGCAACTGCAAAAAAACAACTATATAGACCCTCTGGCAGGAATCAAACCTGCGATTCCAGTGCAGCGCTCATGTATAGTGTAGGATGTATCAAAAAAGGTAAAACAATTTCGGCATGTTATCGTGCGTTATAGATACTAAGTAGATCGGAAGATTTACTTTTCGCACACTAATAAAGATAGGCTTTTAGCTGCCAAGTGACACCGTTTTTGTATCATTGAGATGTAAGGTAGTTAGATCCGATCCGATCTAAAGTGGTCGGTTCTTCTAATTTTCGAACATTGACCTAAATGCTGATTACTTGTATTAACCACAATTATGACAATCAATAATTGATTACCGCCGGCTGTAACAATCAGTTGTTCACGTGACGTCAAATATTCATATATTAATTCTAATACTTTATAGTATTGCAAAATCACTGCCTAAAATTGATTGGTACAAAGACCGGTGGTAATCAATGTAATGTTATTTTTCATTGAAGTAAGTAAACAAAGGCAGTTTTCAGTTGAAGACTTCGATTTCTGTCGTTAAGAATTTGTACTGACCAGCAAGAAGGTTCTT